CTAAATCTCGATATAATATGTTGTCGGAGTAAACTAGTACAAAAAGTTGTATTCGTGAACTTTGCATGTTATTCATGATTTTATTTGGAATACAGATTAAAAAAAAGAATTATTATCAAGTTTCCGAGATAGTTTATGTATATATAATTCTATTAATAAATGCAACAATAGGTAATTGAAATTCATGGAAATCACGCAATCATTGCCACAGGCGACAGCATGTTTTGATTCTACGATAAGCTCAACATTTCTCATGAGATTCTCATGTGGAAGTTAAAAGTGACAGAAGACAAGTGTTTGAATGTGACTGAGAATAAATATAACTAGTTAGTGTCTCTTCTATGAAACTCACATTTTGTCATGTGTAACAGTGATGAAGATAAAAAAAGGACAACTTGCGTAAAAAAAGGACATACTAACATTTATGTTGAGAGTCTTGTCGGTTTTATGAGAGAAAACCGTCTGATAGCGAAACACAAATACTGTACAAAAAAAAAACAAGGTTGCATTGTGAGTTTCTTCACTGTTGAAAATGTTTCATAGGCATATAACCTCAGTTGCTGAAGATGAAGATATATTCTAGTTAATCTAGCTCAGATTTTTCGTACAGATCCTCCTTACTTATAATGAAGGATTTCTACTTCAGTTCATTGATAATGTATGGCCCAATATTTACGTGTATAAAATTCAATATTTCCTCAAAAATGTTTTCTAAGTCTACTTGATTGAGAAAGTGTTTACTATTAGCTGTAATACACTGCTCAAATCTATTAATCTAATGGGAGGAGGAAAGTGTTTGAACATATCTTATCTTAAGAAGTGCAAATCTAGAGTAAGCTTTTGCTTGCCCAAGTCTTGTGGTCATAATCCTGTAGAGTAGGATTAGGATAGGCAAATTTTTCGGCAAGAGAGGGTAAGAGTAGTGCAAAAAAAAATGTCTAGGATAGACTAAGGGTACTGCCGAGGGGTAAACAGCGAACCTCAAGAGACTTCAGCATAAGATCTAAATGCAAAAGTAATAGGATGAATGTTGATCTCTATTTCTCTTCAAGAGAAGGGTGCTGGGGGAAATCTTTTTTAACAAGAAAATAGAGAATTTTTTTCTCTTTCAAACCATATGTGACTTATTTTTATTGCACGTTCATAAACGAAGTGACAATAGAGAAGGGCCGTTAAAATAAATTCACACGTTTCATGAGATTTAAAAAGAGACACGAAACATTGATCTCTATATCTTTTTGATAAACACGTTTTGAAAGGCATATTTTTCAATCAATTGATGGAACATTTTCCCATCTTCGGAACAGTTTATTATTCATATTTGTCATATATTCGTAAATAAAATGAGGCTAAAAAAAAAAAGAAACACTCGGACAATAAATTTGTGATTTTTAATATTAGTTCGTGAAAGACATAATGTAAGACAACTGCTAATTCCAATTTTGGGGGTTCACTGAAAAGATGTTGTAAAACGGTGGCTAATTTGATTTTTATGAACTTATTAAAACAATTTAGTCAAGCGACAGTTAATTAAAATTAACTGTTACATAAGACTATGTTTGTGATGAGTTTATACAAAAAACCAGATCAAACAATCAAACGGTAAGATCGTACATCTGATCTTGTATGATCATGTACAATTAGGCGAAAATCGTACTATAAATTTTGCTTTCAGAAATCTTATGCTATGCCGTACTATAAGAATCTTGAAAGACCTTACTGTCTTGTAAGATATCACTATAGGATTATAGAAAATCTTATGTCATGGAAAGATCTTTCAAAAATCTTACAGTACGATTAAAGGTCAGATTTCTGAGACCATGATTTTTTTGTATGATTTCACCTCATCCCACAAGAACGTACATCTGCTTTTTTTATCTGGGATCGAAAGTTCTTTGCGCTAGTGTTCTCTGTTTTCTCGCGTCATTTAATTTACGATTCCTTAACAAGCGTAAGTTGTTTAGTGTTCCACTGAGCAGAATGTTTCTTATCGACTGATAGAAAAATACTCTTTTTCAGAACATGTTTGTCGAAGAGATATAAGAATTCATATGTTGTGCTGTAATTTATAGGAAAAGTTTAGACTCATTTTGAGGTTCTTCACTTTGTTGTTACATTGCTTTGTTTATGGACGTGCAACAAAAATAAGTTATGTACGATTTAAAAGACGAAAAATTTCTCTTCCGTTTTGCAAATAAAGGTTTTCTTTCAGCACCTGTCATTTGCAGAGTTATAAGAGTCGACATTTGTCCCATTAATTTTGCATCAAATGTTATATTAAAAGCTACAGCTTACAGACTTCAGAAGACTTCATGAGACTTCTTTCTGATTTGGAAGAAGTGGATTGTTATTTTAAAAGGAAATTAAGTTTTGCTAAAGAAGAATTAGTATTGAACTCATGAGACAATCAATCATTGAGCAATTTACAACTTAGTGTATGAGCAAAATGGCTCTTGGGAGTTCCGACAAGTTCAGCTACAAATGAACATATTTTCAGTGCAAACAGAAAAGTTTTGTCAAAGAAAATATAGAATTAGAGTGGTCACATTGTTATTGGCATTTTATTCTTTGGAAAATTCCAAAGATATAATAACTTTGTATTTGGTTATTGCTGGAAATCAATAAAATATGCTGAAACATAATGAAGAAAACTTCATGTTGACATGCGAAATACTGAAAATCTTAGGATAGGGTAGAGTATAGGGAATGAAAGATTCATTACCTGCAACACTCTGGTTCCCACTCTCAAGTGGTGTCTTTAAAGCTGATGAGGATCCTATTAAATTGAAATTCGTTGAAAATTGTTAATTGTAGAATTACATTAAACTGCATTATTATGCTTTATTTATTTACTATTATATTGTTATATTTAAATTTTTTCTCTTAAAAATACTTTTTTCTGCTAAATTAATTTTTTTGCCTTAGGACTATATTTATGAAACAAAATATTCCATTTAAGAGAAGACAAAGAGAAAATAAAAATCTATTTTTGATTATGTATTTTATCATATTGTTCTAGTTGATAACGAATTTCTTTTCTCCATGAATGAACTTTTGAAACATTAAGAAATCAATTAAAACCAATCTTCTTTAATACGATATGTTCTTGTAAATGCTTGAAAAAAAATATAGCTTGTTTTAAGTTATTATCATAAATTATATTTGAAAGATTTATCGACAATATTTGAATTAATTTATTTTCTCGATAAAGAATATTTTGTAGAACAATCGATGATCGTTTTGATAATTCATATATACATTCATATTCGTGATAAAACTTAGCTTTTAATTAAATAAATTTTTTGTCCATTAGTTAATTTAGATTTTTTGTAATGAGAAAAAGTTTGCAAAATAAAAACTTTGAAATTGTAACGTAAAAACGTATTTGATATTTCGCCTTTTTGTTTAAACATATTATTAATTTACTCAACAAAATTTAATTGAAAAAATAAGCACTAGGTTATGAGGAACTTAAATATGATTAAACTACGTAGTTGTAAAACACTGGCATCTGTCGCTATTTTGAAAATTCAAGCTTATATAAAATCCAATAGAATATTCAAACAGCTGGCTGGCTGGCTGACTGGATATCTAAAATGTAGACTTAGTGTTTTTTTTCATGATAGAAGACTTATAACCTTTCCGTCCTGAAATGAACTTCTAGTAAGATGAAAAGAAAAACGATATGAATTTTATCTAATCATTTTTTAAAGATTCAATTCTGAGTACTTCAATGATACAGACATTATCCTTATCATTCGATCATCACTTAATGATTTACAATCTTATGATATCGATATGAGTGATTTTGTTCAATATCTGATGGTAAATAGAAAGTTAAGTTAATAACGATGCAATTAATATAGCATTTATTAATGCTATGAATCAAAATAGAATGGAGAGTTAAGCAACAAAAACAAACAAACAATACATTACATTTTTAGCAAAGTATTTTGAAGTACAGTAAAACTTCTCCACAATGAGTGGGAAAGCGAAAATTAATTAATAGAAAAATTGGTCGACATCAAAGATAGTCATTAAATTTGTAATTAAATAATAGAAGCTTTCACCTGTATGAAAAAAAAAGGAAGTGGATGTAAGTGTGCGGTGTGGGTGTCGGTCCGGGGAACACAAGAAGACCTACATCTACACTATTTTTCTCGTGAAGCTGAAAGTTTTTGTTCTTTTATTATAAGTTTCTCGACTATCTTTCGCATGGACCCATTTCCGTCTACCCATAATGAGTACCTCATTATACTGAGTAATCTATAGTCCACCCAAATGAATTTTGCTAAGAATAAACCACTCAAATATGAATACCTCTTTATTGTGAGTATTGGGTGCTTATGTTGGTCTCACAAAAAATGATAATCTCTCTAGTGTAAATAACATATGTTTTGTTACTCACGCGCAGAATGAAAAAAATAATGTTATGTGTATTGTGTTATCATAAGTAAGCATGGGACACACATTAAATAGAAGATGGATTAAATGAGTATATTTAAAAGACAAAGCCAATATTAGAGAACAGCAACAGTGCTTGGTGTAACATCTCATCGTTTGTTTTTTGTTAACAGCTAGTAACATTAAATCATATCAACATGTATTGATTTACTTCTGATAAATTAATAAATCGCTGGAAACAAAAATAAGATCATTTTGTGCAGTCGAAAAGCGATGACAACTAAATATTTATACTGTGCGCAAAAAGAAACTGAAAATCTGCCAAGTATGAACATTTTTGGCTGGTTGCGATGGCACCGAAATTAGAGAGGTTTTGCTGTATTAGACAAAGAATTCGATTATGAAGTTGAAAATACGTTTATTCTGAAAATGATTTATTTCAAAATATAAACGCACAATATGTTGAAAATCCATACAAAAAAGCATAAAATTACAATATGAAGTAAAAAAGAAAACTTTACAACTCAATAATTTTTAGGCTCATAAAAAACAAAAAGAAGCTTTAATAAATAATAATATTAATACATATTTTTTAGATGGGTTTACAATTTGGAAAATTAATTTGTATTGATTTTGCTATTCAATTTATTGGTTGGATTATTTCAGCCAAATTTCGAACTGAAAAATATTTTGATTTAACAGGTAACAAATTGTATATTGAATTTATGTATTTAAATATTGTATATTCAGGTTCTTTAACATTTATTTTATTAACTTATCTAAGTCGAAATAGCACTCGTCAAACTCTTCGACAAAAAATTCAATCTTCTTGTATATTCATATGGGCATTAAGGTAATATGAAAAATAGTATTTGGGGTTATTTTATAGATAATAAAATACTATTGAGATACTACAGAAAAGTTTTAAGAGTTTCCGTTTGCCTCTCCAGAGTTTCTACAGAATAGCTTATCAGAAAATTTTCAAAGCGCATAGATCTTGATGAGTAGAGCAACAATTGTCATAGACTCAAAGTACCCAGATGCTGTCTTCTATGAGATATTGGCATCACAATGATGAAAAATGGCTTCAATTCGCGTTTTCGGCTCTTCGAGATGCCATTTTTCATTGAGCTGAAAATATTTTCACAAACACTAGACACTGTTTCGGGTGGGTATCTTTTACTTTTTGTTCTTCGAATAAAAAAAGTTAAAATATAGAACGTAGTCTAAAAAGCACATGTCTTTTTTGAATAGAGTTTTTTTTTTTGTAAGTGCCACCAAAGATCAGCAAAAAATATATAGTTCAGAACAAAAAAGTACCCATCCGAAACAGTGTATAGTATGTGTAAAACGTTTCAGCTTGATCGAGCACATTAGGCCGGAGAAACGAGAGCGTTTCTACACTTTTTGTTTTCATGAAAATATTGGTTTGAGAAAAACGCGAAACAATGTACAGTTTTCTTTATTTTCGTTGTGTAGATTTGGTTTTTTAACGTTTAAAAATAGTTTTCGAATCACAAATTGTACTCAGTGGATAGATACTACTTCAGACTATACAATGGCCACCAAAACGAAAATCAAAAATTCTAAGTAACGAAGGAGGAAACGGCATTGACTTGAAATTATTTGCTTTGAATAATTAAACACAACAAATAATTATATATTGCTTTGTTATATATGTAATGGAGTCACTGTAAGATACAAGTGAAAAATACACTAAGATTTTTTGGAACCTTTTCAGTAGTATTTCTAAGAATAATTAAAAGACCGAGAATAAGAATATTTATTAATAATAACATTATATCAATCGTTCACAAAGATATCACGCTTTAAATACTTAATACATAAGTTAATTGATAGCAAAGTTGTCGTCCTTCCTCTTATGTTTTGGAAATTAAATGTTGACGTATCACCTTAATATTCTATAGTACTTTGATGAATTCATTCGGTTCCAACAACAAATGTTTGAACCGAATATTAATTTATTGTTGTAGAACTTACATTGACTGACAGAAGAACTTGTCTAAATCCAAAGCAATTGAATAGTAAATTTCTCATTTGTATTGTTGCGAAAATTGATTATCAAATGTAAATGTCTTTGTCTATTATTATAAGTATCACTTATGCCTTACATTTTCGTTGTATATATGTTAGCTATCATAATTATATTTTCTCGATTATATGAAACAGTATTGATATTATGGAGATGCAAGTCCACATTTTTATGAATCCAAACCCAAGAAAAGTTAAACTTAAATCAAGTGTTTCTTAATATAAAAAAATATTTATGGTGATTGTTTCTTTGTTTTAATTTGCTATTTTGTGCAAAGTCTTTTTATTATTTCATCCTTATAAAAAGTAAATAGTTACAGCTGTGAATGAGTTCTATATAAGGAAATGTTTATTTATATGACAAAAATCAAATAGAACCGCTATTTTTTTTTTGTCAAATAAAGTTTCCTTTTCTACATAATTTTTTTTTTCATTTTATTTTTTCTAATATTTAGATTAGGTGCATTTTTATTCTATCGAATATTAAAAGCTGGTAAAGATTCACGATTTGATCGTATGCGTAATTCTCCATCGAAATTATTTACAGCTTGGATGTTGCAAGGTTAGAAAAATTAAATCTAAATAAATTAATATAAACATTTTTTTTTTTTGTTTCAAAAAGGTCTTTGGGTAATAATAACACTTTTACCAACACTTTATCTTAATCGAAAACACGTTGATAAACCATTAACAAAAACAGATTATATTGGTTGGAGTATGTGGTTGTTTGGTTTTCTATTTGAAGTTATAGCTGATAAACAAAAAATGACATTTAAAAATAATTTAAATAATAAAGTATATTGATTAATAATTATTTTAATTTAAGAAAGAAAAAAAAGAATTCGTTTATATTCATCTAGGAAAATTTTATTAGTACTGGTCTTTGGAAATATTCAAGACATCCGAATTATTTTGGTGAAATATGTTCATGGCTTGGTCTTTATATATCATCATCACATATGCTTGTTGGATATGAAAAATTTATTGGTATACTTTCACCTATATTTGTAACATGTTTACTTTCATTTGTAAGTGGAATTCCAATATTAGAAAGACAAGCAATGAAATTATTTGGAACAAATCCTGCTTATCATACATATCGGAATCGAACACCAATTCTTATTCCATTTATTAATTTTCCTCGTATTTAATATAAAAGACAAAAAAAAAAGCATTGTTCATTTCTTTCTTTTTGTAATTTATTTCTTGTGGATGATGAAATATTTCGTAGTTTGATTAAAGTAATCAAATCAATGGGTTCTTTTTTTTAATTTTTTTTTCTTTTTGTTATTTGCTAAGAGAAAATTTACGATTAATTTTTCGATGATTAATTCTAATAGATTTTGCTGTTCATCAAGTGAATATTAATTTTCATATGACAATAAAAAAAATTTGTTTATCGACTTGTACTATAACCCTTTGGTCTCAAAATTCAGATTTGATGAATGATTTGTTTAATTATTTCGTCTGAAATGAATTTTTATTATTTGGTCATCATACTTGAATGTTTGCTGAGAGGATACTAACAAAAACAGTGTGATATAAGCTTTTCAAATTTATAAATTTGACATTGTTGACAAACACTTTATCCAGAAAAGTAATATCGTTAATGTTTATCAAGTACTTTCATCAGAAAATCCAGAAGTGCTATCCTTGGTATTTGTGCTTACTGAAAATTATTCGATGTTATCATCTTCTTCGACATTGATATCAAGATCTTTTTTGTCGACTTCTTCGTAATTCTTTACATTTCTAATAGAATACATAGGTTCCTTTGACAAAAGATCATCATTTATAAGCTATTCTAACATCTCTAAATAAGTACACTCAATGCCATCATTAGTGAATATTCAATTTGTAACTACACGAATAAGAACAATTAATTAAATGGCTATTGACAAATGATAGCTACTATATGTATCAGTAAATAGTCAAACAAAACACGATATGAAAAACAAAATTAGGATAAGAAAAGTATCATGAATGCATAAAAGGAGCAATCATCACTTTTATTTCTTAACAGCTGTCTCCGCTTATAATAGAATTATTTCTAGTAGGTCATCGTCTACATATGACCATATCCTTAATACGTAATACATATCTTTTATTGTTTACAAAAAATAGACAAGAGCAAATCACTTTAAACAAAGTAATAAGATGATAGAAAAACGTTTAACAACAACATATTTGTCTATAATGTTGAGCAACTAATTCAAATTCAAAAAGGATCTTAGTAACCAATGAAGTTTTCCATCTAGTGCATTCTATATCAAGATTGCATAGATGAACTATGACGCCAAGATTTCTAAAAAGTTGGACACGATACTATTCAGGTCTCGAAAGACTATTTTTAAGAGTACAACATGAGAGATCACAGCCTTTTCTATAATCTTCCTTTAAAAAGTTAAAAGCATCACGTAAAAAACGCATTTTCTCCGTTTTTTTATAAATACTATTAAATTTTTAAGAGAAGCATGTAGTAAATTCTGTGACCCCTCATTTGTTGCTCTTAAAAATAGTATTGTTAAAAAGAAATAGTCTTCCGGGACGTGAAAATTACTGTGTTCAGTTTTTTTTAGAGACCTTACCATCATAGTTCATCAATCAAATTTTGATATAGAATACATTAAATAGAAAATTTCATTGGTTATTAAAGTCACGATCTGGTTTTGAACTAGCCAATTAACATTACAGAAAAATACGTTGTTGATAAACTTTTGAAAACAGACTCTTGGATTTTCATAGAAAAAAACATATTGAAATTGTAAAAGTAGAATTAGTTATAAATTAAAAATTATTAAATAATCGTAATTGTTACATTTAATTTTATTTTTAAGTTTTAATTAATGAATTTTAAGCTTGAAAAACGAAACAAAAATAGATAGTTCATTTGATACATATCTACAAGAGCTTTTTCTTTTTTTTTAAACTGTAAATTGATAATTTTTTCTTCTCAAATAGCAAGCGAAAAAAAAAGCTTTTTTTTAAACTAATAATACATGAGAACTAACATTCATATCTATTTGTTTTGAGAAACTGTTAACATAGTGATACTTCTACACAAATCTTTCTATGTTAATTGGTAAATACTTGAGATAATTGGCAACAAACACTGTTTGCTATGTATATACAAATACAAACTTCAATTGATAAGCAAAATCCACAGTTATCATATTCGACAATGTACCGTCTGTCGGCCTTCTTCTGTTTCATCATCTGCTTGCAAATTGGCGTTTTTGCTGAACTAAGTCCTAGTTCATGTTCTTTTATTCGTACAGCAACTAGTATCAGTACAATTGTACCTGAAATTGCTCAAATAGCAATGCGTTATTATCGTACTTCATCATCATCATTATCATTTTCCGATCAACATCATCGTCAAAAACGTTTTCTTTTTGCTGTTAGTAATGCATCAAAAGATCGTAGTACTAATGGTGTTAAAGGATCTATACTTGAACAAGTAATGATTAATGCATTTAAAGATGTTAATTTTACTAGCGTAGCTTTATTAATTCTTAATAATAATGAAACAATGAATAAAATTCGACGAAATACTGATGGTAAAGCTATTATTCATGCTGCTATGCGTAATATTGATTATGAAAAATTAGGTAGTAGTATATGGTATGCTTCTGAAAATGAATTTGATTTAGAATATTTGATTTCCAGTTTAATTAATATGACTCATATCGATATGATACATGAAGAGCTTCTTAATACCGGTACATTACCTGATTGGCTTATTAAAAGTATTCATCCCGATCTGAATGTTCGAGTTGTTCATCGAATATTTGAAGAAATAAAAAATTTCACACGTAAATTTATTACAATAATGAATAACTCTGAAAGTTTAGATGAGTATTTATTTAATATGATACAACAACAAGTATTAACACCATTAGGAAAAATGATTCAAAAACTAAAAGATGAAAAACCAACAACACTTGATCAACTTGTTGAAATTATTTTAAATGATGTCAATAAAATTATTATGGTAAAATGTGTTTTTTTTTCTGAAAACATTATTTTATTATCTTCCTTTTTGTTATTAGGAAAGATTAACAACGACAAGCAAACCAACAACAAGAACTAAGAAAACTACACAAAAATCATCAGCAACATCAGAAGATAACGTGTTTGATGATGTCAAGTTGTTATTCTATCAATGTTCAATTGCAATTGAATCAATAGGACAAACAATTCAAACTATGTTAAAAGCAATTGAACAACTCTATTGTACATCTATATGGGATTGAGAAAGTTTTTATTTTCTTTTAAAATTTTTTTTTATTCGAATTAGCTACACAATCAGCAAGAACTCATTTCTTTTCTTATTGTATTTTATCTGTCTATAAAATTAGAGATTGTTAATTAATATTTCAATAAAATATTCTTTTCTTTAGAATTTCATAAACGACTTTCAAATAAAATTACTCTATGGTGCATCGATTGAGTCATTGACCTTCTCGTCCCCAATGCTGGTGGCGTTGGGACACCCCTAATTCCATGAATATACCAAGCAGTTGTTGGCTATTATTATGATTTGCGCACTACACTGATGATCTAATTGAAATTTAAGTATAATTTTGGATTGTACATGACTTAATCGCTTTCAAATCTATCGATAATGTCAACATAAGCAACAATTCTTGGTTTATCTTAGTAAAACTACAATATGATTGGTCTTAGAATGCTGTTAAGTTGTTTTCTGTTTATCATTTCTGAATTATTGACATAGATAATATGCCTTGATTGCTTGAAACAACAAATTTTTGACCGTTAATCTGTATATCCAAATTGATCCTACTTTCATAAATTTCTATTAATGTATTGTTTGGTAAACATTTTTATTCTATCTATTTTGATATACTTCCATATGACAATACAATAGAATTTTATCACATTATCATGAATGACTGGTCCTGTCTTAAATAAAATGAATCAAATTTAATTGTTTTCTTCATCTTTAAAATCTTCTAATATTAGAAATTCTTATTTTTCGTTGATCAGTAATAATAACTGAAGTCAACATTCGTAATAGTTCGGTTTTATTCCGAAAGTGCAATCACCACACACACACATATATATATATATTTATATATTTATATATATCTGTCTAACTCTAATTAGATACTTTTTTTTCCTCAGGCTGTCCTCAAACAGATAGAGAAATTTATACATATAGATAAAGCTTGCACAAGAGAAAGAAAAAAACAAACACCCACAATTTCTTTTGCAACATAGAACACGAGTTAGAGAAAAAGACAATTTGTGATTGTATGAGACAGAACCAAACAAACAAAGATGAACATATGCACACACAAAGAAAAATATAGACATATAAATGACAAAAAAAAACAAGAGGAAAATATGTATAGAAGAAACAAGTCTAGTACCAATATATATATATATATATATATATATCGAGTAGAATATGTCAATGAAAAGAAATAAGGCTAATAAAGTTTAAACACAGGGATAATGGAATAGGATATCTCTCATCTTTGTAGGTTCACTGAAAAAAAGGACTAAAATAAAGATGAAGAGAAGACAAGCACAAGAAGGAATTACTGGTATTTTTTTTATAAGTTTACAAAAAATGTTTTTTTATCAATTTTTTTTTTTTGGATTTTAAATTTTTATATATTTTTTCAGATGTTTATAATTTATAAGGAAAGATCAACACAAAAGAAAATGAAAAATGAACACAAGAAAAAGAAAGACATTGAATGATACGTTGCTGAGCCGAAAAAAGTAAGATGAGAAAAAAATAATAATAATAAATATAAAGAAACAAGAAAAGATATTTGACTAAATTTCATCATCATCAATATATTATCTATATCATTACCGCTTTATTCTTGAGTGTTTCGATGATCATCACCAATAATAGTTCTTTTATACGAAAACATATTTAATTTACAGTAAAAGAAAAAGAAAAATTTTCATTTACTTCGAATGACTCGTTCGCTGCGATTGTGGTCGATTAAGCAAATTGTGTGATGACAAAAACTGTTGTTGATAACATATATGGTATGGATACTTTAGTGAATTTTCATTAGAATATTGGATTAATGGCTTATCCATTGGAGCATAACTAGAAAAAGGAATTTTATGAAACACGATCTAAAAGGAGTTTCGAAGTGAAGGACTAAACATTTAGACTCTCTCGATCGACGCTAAGCAGAGACTATCACAAGAATATAGTCAGGAGAGATGTCTGTGCCAAGAAATTTTTCTCAGTGAGGGTACGGGCTGCGAAAAAAAAGCTCACCCTACATATCTCTAACGCTAGTCAGAGACCATCACTGACCGTATACCAATAATATCTGAGCTACTCCAGTGGCGTAGCCAGTAAATTTCTAAGGCGGAGGGGGGGGGGGGCATACCAGCAGCAAAATAAATTTTTGTTTGTTGGACAGATTTTTTATTCGTACCCGCCTTCAGATATTTTTTGGCTAAGGGGGGTGGGAGGGTGCCGGGACACCCTCCCCTAAGCTACTCAGTTTTGCATCTCTAGAGAAGAATAAATGAGCCGGTATAGATAGAATAAAACAATCCTCTAATGATTAACACAAGTAGCTACATCATGTTTCACATATTAATCCCGCAGAAATCGTACTAACAGATTTTTTAAATTAATAAACAATTCAAAAGAGATTTTAACATACTTCAATCGGCCATATTGAATATATTTGACTGTTCGTTGTTCATTTTGATAATCACGATAGATCATACATAATTTTTTTCGATATGCCAATGTATTTTCACTTACAGTAATAATTTTTGAAAGAATACTGAAAATTAAAAAGAAAATTTATAAAGAAAAAAAAAAACTTAATAAACATACGATGGTGCATTCTTTAATGTTGTATTTTGATCAGAAACACTTTGTAATAATTTATCATATGCTTCACGAAATGCTGAATTTAATTTTGGTGTTAACCATGAAGCTTTACTTATATCATTTTCTATTTTAAAAAAATTGCATTAAAAAAAAAATAAAAAGACTTTTCTTTCATTTTATCTACATACTATCATTGAATGGATCGACAATACATAAATTATTTATTGTACGATGTCCACAACAAAAATTTTTAAATAATTCTTCTTTATCAATAAAACCAGCTGGACGATCTGGTTGATATGCTGTTTGTACACGTATACCCAATTTCGCATAATTAAAATAAACACCATATAATTCAAGAAAACTAATAAGCATATGTCCAAGACTAACATGCTCAATTGTATTATTTATTGTATGATTGTTATTATTATTATTAAAATGATCATCATCAATATCACTATTATTATTACTCGAACTATTATTATCATCGGATGATATACATGAAGCTGCAGATGATGATGGATAGGATGTTGATGACGAAAAATCATCTGTTGTACCAGTTGTACTATTAGTTTTTATAGATGATGTTGATAATGTTGATGTCGTTTTCGTTGTTATTGTTGAAGATGTTGATAAACCAGATAAAAATGATGAAGATAAAAATGGTGAGCAAAGTGAATATTGATCTTTTTTATAATAAATCTATTTAAAAAAAATATGTATATAAGAATAAGATTAATTTGTTTCTTTTCTTTTATTACCTGGAAAAAACAGACTAGCATAAGAGTAATTGAATAACTACTAATACCACCAGTCCACACCTCATTGAGATTAAGTTGAATTAAATACTGTTTTAATACATAGACAAGATATTTCAAATACGGATAATCTTCCATATAACGCTAGAAAATAAAGAATTATTCGTCATATACATAAGATTAGATATGAATATGTTTGTCAAACTGTCATGCCCTAGACTTAAAAATACTTTTCAGATTCGATTTTTTATTAAAAAAAGCTTTGAAGTCTACGCAATATATATCATGCAGATTCTAATGAGTTATACATACATAGAAAAGAGTGTGTGTCCTTAGCTTATGACTGCTGAGACACTGCATGAGTTAAGGTCATGATGCAGTTCCCATCAGAAAAATTCGATTTTCACTTGAAACTTTACAGAGACAAATCTTAACGAGAATATTTTATTGTGAAAATTTCAAGTCTTTTAATTTTCTTCTTTTCTGAAATAAGAATATTAAGTCTGCTGGCGTAATATAAACAACGAAATGATCTAAAACTTTCACAATAAACTATTCGCAATGAAGTAATCTCTATGGAAAGTTTCAAATCGAAATTCGAAACTAAATTTTCTTAGTGTCTCTAAGGAGGACGATGACATTGGCTTAAAAATATCTCGTAAAAATGCAGCATCTCAGTAGCAATAACCTAAAGACATGAACTCTCTTTTCAAGGTATTCACAGTTCATTAGAGCCTACATAATTTACATAGTCTCAACTCAAAAAGCAATTAATCAGTTGAGGAACTTCTTCCGTCAGATGATCATTCTCCGTACTGAAAATGCATTAACGAATGTTTATGTTTATTATTACACTGCGTTAGTCAAACTTTTTTTTTTTCATGCTGCTAAAGTACTTGAGTATCTTGATCAAAAGAGTAATAATACACTTGAAATCTTGTTCAAACGTGTGTAATTTGTCATCTGTCAAATCTGTAACAAAAATCTATATAAGTAGAAAACCTTTTGCAAATATTCAAATGATTATCTATGAAAAAAAAAAGTTCGATTTGAGAATGGGTTAGTTTTCGTTTTTTCTTAATACAAAAGATTTTATTTTATAAATACATACAAGAACAAGTTGTGCACTTCGAAGTCCATTATTCATATTAAAACTCATGTCAATTTTAACATCAGTTTTACGATCAGTTAATTTAATAATTGGTACAGTTGCACCATTTAATAATTGAATACCTTCTTGAGTACAAATACGATGACGACAAAATGCTTCACGTAAAACTAACATTAATGCTTCTAATTCTTCTGGTGTCCATTGACGACCATCTTTTGAATGAACCATTAAATCAATATCACTTAAATATAACAAAAATTATTCTTATAAAAATACAGACAAAACGAAATTCTATTAACAAACCTCATTGGTAAATATAATCCAGTTTTATAACTTCCATAAATATCAACCTAAAGAAGAAAATAATTTTGTTTTATGTTTTTTTTTTTTTCGAAATAATTGTATGTTTTTTTTTTCTTACAGAAGCTGTAGGTAAATATTGATTAATTACATTAGTTATACGATTAATAACTTGCTGTCGTACAGCATGTTCTTCTTCTGTTGGAATCATAAATTGATAAAATTGTAAAATTTCATAATGAAGACGATAAAGACGAACTGACATACATGGTGGTGCACTAAAAGAAATACAAAAAGATAAAATTATGAATTTTATTATAAAATAAATATTCATTATACGAACGTCATTAAATCAAAAAGTTCAACAGGAATTTGCGTATATCTCCATGGTGGACATAGAGATCGTTGATCTAATTGCATTGGTGTACGTCTTAGAAGAAAACGATCATGTAAGTAAACAGTACTTTTATCATGCATTGTTGTTATTATTTTAATTTGACCAATGATTAATTACTATATAAAATAATGTATTCTTTTAAGAATTTATTTTAAATGTTAATGCTAGAAAAGAAAAACTAAATCAATGATTTCTTTTATAGATACTTCATATTGTGTATATAAATATCTTTCACAGAAAATGACATAAGAAAAAGAACTACATAGATATATATGTATCGCGTGAAAGAGGTTCTTCGTATATACATAATAATAACAATAACTGTTTGTAAGCAACCGCATGTATGTATAGATATGTCTATATAAAGAAAAAAAAGATTTTTCTGGAGAAACACGTGCTAAGATGAATGTAGGTTGGTTGGTTAGTTGGATCCAGTAGATATTTAATTTGATTGGGTAAAAAATTAATCAATAAAAACTAAAGCGTTACTATCTAGGAAAAAAATAGAAATATTTGAAAAGAAAAAAATTATTTTATATTATAGATTTTCTTTATTTTTAATCATTTTAATTATATGAAAGATAATAATATGAATTGATTCTAGTTTTTAGAAATCAAATTTTGAATGATATAGAGCTTTTGGCATCATATTTACGGAAAGTTCTAGACTTTTATAGAAAGGACAACAGAAGAGGAATAATCAACACAAGCAAATACAAAATTCGTCGCGTTAGAAACCTACTTTTTTTTACAATTTTTGTTTCTTCTTTTGAAAAGAAAAACAAAATTGTTGTTTTTTTTTCAATGTAATACATTTCTATCGTAAGAATGTCAAGGTCAACGATAACTTTATGATAAATCTATTTTTGATTTGAAAAGGATGATTGTAGTTGATATCATTTTGTAACTAAATTAATGATTGTTGTAAAGAGAAATTAATATTAGTTATCAATCAGTTCTATTTTTTGATATTGCAATAAATTTTTAAACTATTGATTTTTGTATAGCTGACTTGAATTCATACACAAAAAGTTATTGCACACAATTGACGTATTTTATATATATTGAATCTAGAACAAGATTTAAAAAGATAAAAAAAACTTGATGATTTTAAAACTTTAATTTAACCTTTAATAAGACATTCTCAACACTTAAAATTTTTATAAAATTTTAAGAATTTTAAACAGGTGTTTACAATTCTATTTTGTTTTTATAAAACCCGAGAACATAAAAGTGTTTTTATAAACAGTTTGTTTGTCTTATATGTTTTGTAAGAAATATAGTTTATATTACAAAAAGAACTCAAATTTCTCCAAAGAAGAAAAAAAAACAGAAGCCTTGTTTTTTTTTTCGAACGAAGAAATGAAAATAATCTTTAATGAGCTATTAACTAAAGTTAATTGATTGACACTTATTTCATACAGGTCAAAAAACAGATCACAATTGATAATTATCTAATATTTTCATCATAAACAAGACCTATAAAATTCTTATATCGATAAATACAATCGATATGAAACCTTAGACAAAACAAACAGAAGTTTTCAATATGTCAGATATTTGTTTTTTAATATATCAACTTGTCTTTAATTTCAACCAATCCACCACTTATACTGACAAAATATGGTCATAATTTTTGCTAGTCAACGCGTCTCAAATAGTCAAAGAAAGAAAAAAACGATGTAAAATATGTCCGTTGAAAAAAAAAAACATAAAAGAAAAGCAGAAAAATCAAAGTAACATGGAAACTGTTTAACTTTTCTTTTTTAACATCATCTCTGTTTGGTGACAAACATACACAACAACAATAACATCATGTCGCATGTTGCACATGAAGCTTGTGGTGTAGACGTTTTTCTTTGTTTTAATCCTCAATCAAATCAATGTTCATCCGTAGCAACAATTATTAAACAACGATGTTCAAAGTAATAATTGAATCGATATTTAAAAATGTTAATTTAAGTTGTTTTTTGAAGACGAGAAATTATTTATCAAACATCGGATAATATTGATTTTACAAAAAATTGGTATGAATCCATACCAGTGCAAATTCTTCGTTCGAAAATATTTATACCAATCATTGATGAACAATGGTATTCATCATTTTGGTGTTCATGGATGCTTTTATTTGCTCTTGTATATAATAAAAAAAAAAAAAGTTTCTATCTTATAATTTAATATGAATTATTTCATTGAAGGAACATCAAAATCGTTATAGTCTTCCATTAATTATGCCTGTGATTTTACCATCATATGGTGAACGAGCATCAGAAGTACTTATTGCACAATTAACGAAGAATTATAAAGCAACCATCATGCTTAGTGATGTAAGTGAATTTAATTAAGTCTATTAAACCATTTGTATTTGAGATTTAAATTTAATCTTCTTAATCGATATTGAGATATTTCAAATGAAAAATGTCGATATAACAAATTGCTATGATTTAACTATCCTGAACTCCGTGAGAACGGGAAGCTTACAATGGTTCTGAATTGATTTGTATTTGACTTGTATATGTCTCTTATGATAGTAGATATCATGAATCTTCTACTTTTCTTGTAGTGCAATCAGATTTTTTTCTGTTATGTTCTCATATACTGTTCTTTCTGCAGGCAGACTCATTCTTGCTATTCAGCATTCGTTTTCCTTATATAGGCTTTCTGCTCCCGAGGGTTTAATAATAATTGTTCCTTTACTCGTAATGAAAGAAATGCAAATTAAAAAACTGAGTTGCAGCCGATAAGAAAATCAGGAACATTGTCTTTACTATCGAAATTCTATTTAGTGGAGTAATCAAACGAAGGCTTAGCCTCTTTCTTCTACCAACGGTTAAGTTCCACTGAAAATGGCGCTTTAATCGTTCGGATATATATTTGTGCGGTAAGCTCGATGCCAGATAATCAATATCAATAAAATTAATAAATATTCTCTCAATGATTTGAATTATAGAGATGTATGTCGTATAACTATTATACTCAGACCAAAATATGATTTCACAATTCATACACTCACTTTATTGATTGCTTTTTAGCGTCAACTAAATAAAACCCATACAACAGAAATAATAAACGCAATAAATGATAGAACAAGAGAAAGAAAGAGAACACAAACAGAAAAGACACAAAAACTAGAATAAATAAGAAAATGACAATACAGGTGACGATACACCGTGCAGTCAACTGTGGCTCCAATTACATTTTTTTATCTGGTTACATCACTAGATTTATTTAATGAAAGATAATCTTGACGAAACGGTTTTTTTTTTGTAAGCACCATTACTGTACTGATGCGGGGCAAGGTCTCCTAGGGATCAATCACTTTAAGCTAGAGTTTTTATTCAATCGATAGAGCCTAGTGCGTAGGTACATAACTTAGAGTGATTCGAGCTGTGGAATTTTTATTGCTGAGATATCGAATTTGTAATAGATTTGCCCCAGTTTTCTAGCAAAATCATACTTTTGTATTTTGAACTAAGATTTTGCCCACATGAAGATCTCGATTAAACTAGCTTGTAGAAAAAAATTTTATTCCAGTTTATTAACTCAAACAATAGTGTGAAAAAATGAAATAATCCTTATTTTATAAAAAAACAAATAAGTTTTCAAAAATACAATATAATCTCTTGAATATGTTCGCAATTTTAATTACTAATTATAAACGTTTCTATATTTTATTTTCTCTCTCAACAAGTCTATAATATAGAATATGAAAGAAACAATAATAATTAAACTAAATACCATACATCATTATTTGTTGTAGATATATTATTTTCAAAAAAATATGAAATCTCTTTTATTTTATATTTTAGCATGAACCAATTGAACAATCACTTGAGGCATTTTTTAAGCTTATTGAATTAGCAATTCATACACCAGAATGGTTATTACAAGGATTAAAATCTAAACGATATGTTGATAATGAACGTCCATTAACTTATGATGAACTTAGTTTTTTAAATGAAATGCGACATAAAGAAATAGTTCTTATGCGAGGTAGAATATAATTTTATTTTGCTCAAGAAAAAAAAAAAACATTTTTTTTTTCGATTCTGTTTTAAAGATATGTCATTACAACAAGAACGAAAATTACCAATAGCAAAAACTGTTTTACATAATCAACATGTTGCATTATCAATTTCATATGATCAATTACCATCATTTTTACTTTCAGCTATTTATGAAAATTATCATATAACATGGTTTGATGTTGTGACTATTGATCGACGACATTATTTTACATTTATATGGAATGATAATCATTTATTTCAAAATCGTACATCAGTTATGTTTTATAATTTAAATCCAGCACAATTTCATGAATTAACATTAAAAATGAATCGTTATCAATTTGATTTAATGCATTTTGATGTATATCGTCATTCAAATGAAAATATGCTTCGTTATATTTGTTTATATATACGTCAAGATTTAACAAAATCATTTCATAAATTACGTACAGCTGTTATAACAAATCGATGGTTTAATGAAAATAATCTTAATGCTATTAATATACGTCCACATATATTATGTGGAAATTTATATTATTCTAATTTATTATCATCAAAACGATCTAATTATAATAATAGTTATTATCGTGTAAATTTAACTGATATGGAATTACTTGAAGAACATACAAAAGCATTAACAGATAATTATAAATTAATTGATTTAAAAGTATATCATTTAAATAATGGTGATTATAGATTTATAGCTATGTGGACAAATGAACGAGAAGGTTCATCAACATTATATCTTGGTTTAACATATGATGAATTAGTTGAACGTTTAAATGAAAAACAATTACGTGCAGCTATTATAACTAATTATGGTTTATTAGTTGATGGACAACAATGTTTTGCACTTGTTTGTAATCAATATGGTACTGTTTGGTGAAATACTTTATCTTATCTTTATAAACGTATATGTTACAGACAGAAATTAAAATAATGTTTTTTTTTTATTTGTATTTTCAAAGAAAAGTTAAAGATTTTAATATCTTCTAGGATGAATTGAAGGTGAAGGAGAGGATAGATCCTCTACTTGCGTTGAGTGGAAAACAGCAGGCTTCAGACTATAGCTT